AATGATACCGAGGCACGGAAAAGACCACACAATTCCGTCATGGTACAGACCAATAAGCCTACTGTCTTGTTTGTCTAAATCATTCGACAAATTGCTGATTATCTTGCTTTAGTGGAGAGGTTGCTATCTGACTGGCGTATTAAACTAAACGAGCTAAAACGTGTAAACACCTAATGTTTACTCTTAATAGACAAACATACCCTCTGCGTTCTTTAACCGCTACGCAGATACCCTAGGTTATTAATTAGTTCATGCAATTGCCGGGACTTGTGTTTTATTTGTTTGCGATTTGCTTAAATGTGCTTCCTCCAAGTAAGACGCCTATACTCCGAGATGTGAAACTGGATAGTCGGTATTTCTGCCGTATATACGAGGTTAAGACTGGGTCCGAGAATGGTTCCTTGTGGTACGCCTGTCGCGATGTCAAACTTTTTGGTTCAGCAACTTTTGTGCCTCACGATGAACACTCTTAACACTTAAAAGACACAAATCAATCACATTGTGCTCGTTTTTTTGCGGTCTAATTTTTTTTTGGTAAGTATATTTCTTATACAAATAACATCATCAGATTTCATCTCGGGAGTAAACCAAGAAACAAATAATTGTTGCCTATGAAGAACAACCAAAAGTTTATATTTACCTCCATTAGTACCCTGATAATTTTTAGTTTGATCTCCGGATGCTGGGCCTGTTTCATTAGCGACCTCTACCTGAAAAGTTTTAGACCCACCGGGCTGCTCTTTAACTTCTCCAGAGGAATTGCAAAAGCAAAACTACTGAGCCTAGTCCTCAGATCAATATGGAGCAAGCCGAAGCAACCACGCTTTCTTCCCAAAATAACATCGAAACCCCGAAAAAAAATTAATGTTTCAGAAATAAATAAATAAATAATGTTTCGTTGTAAAAATCCATGAATTGTCCTTCAGTAATTGGAAAGCGAGGCTGGCAGTAAACAGCGGGAAAGGTCTCCGTTACCTGACTGCACTTTGATAGACGTGGCCTGCAAGTAATTAGATGCAAACCTTTGGTGAAAGTAATGTTTGATGCGTTCCCTGATTAGGATGCAGGTTCCGCCGTGGGCTTTACCATCTGGATGATCTGTGCGGTAGAAGGTGTAGCCTTTTATTTGGAAATTGTATTTGTTTGTGAGGTGCGTTTCTATCAGTAGCATAATGTCGATTTGATTCTTATTCAGGAACTGTGTTATTTCAAGTTTGTTCCGGGAAAAGGCATTGGCTTTTTACATGGTTATTCGTAGATTTGCCATCAATTATTTGGACTGCTTAGCTGCAACCAACTGTAACACCATGTTCTGGTTTTGAACCAGTGTTTGCATGGTCCTTTTTTATGACGGACATAAATTCATATCTTGTTTCATAGTAACCATCATAGCTTCCAGTGTACTTTGAGACTGTCCTGGGACCTGCTGAACGTTTCATAGATAAGACTGGAGTGGGTTTCCCTTTCCTATTCGAAGGGCATTGGCGTAAGAGAATCCCTTCTGGGTATTTAGCTGACCAAATGAGGATCTCGCAGCCGTCCCGGCGTCGTTTTTGAGTAAGTTGTGACGATCCCGCCTGACGGCTAGGCCGCCACAATATATATTTTAGCAATAGAAAACGCGGTCGGTATGAAATAAGGTTAGTGAATCAGTGTAATCGGCGCAGTGAAACACAGGGACGATTTAAAACAACGAATTAAACTGAGTGAACTCTTACGAAAAGAAACGTCAAGCCGGATTGTTATACATTTTATTTTTACCCCGTACCCCTTTGTTCCCCGAGGGATTCAGGCCATTAGTGACCGATGACCCAATTGGAAGCGGTAAATTATTTGCACCATATACGTACACGTTATCACGTTCTTCTGAAGTTCATCCACTAACCTGCCTGCGTTGTGAGGTGGAAGATCCCCTCATTCTCCTACTTAATTCTCCCCCCCCTCACGAAGTGGCAGATCCCTTCGTGTCATATTAACCCCACGACGAGACGGAAGATCCTCTCACGTGTCCTCCTCTAATACCCTACCGAAGTGGCAGATCCCTTCGTGTCCTACTAACCCCCGCGGCGAGACGGAAGATCCTCTCACGCATCCTCCCCTAATACCCCACCGCGAACTGGCAGAGCCCTTCGTATCCTATTAACTCCGACGGTGAGACGGAAGATCCTCTCACTGGCCCCATTAATCCTACACCGTAGCGGAACGGTAGATCCTTCCGACTTTGACTAATCAAACTAGCTTTCAGCCGGCCAACCACGATAGAATCTGGCTGCGGCATCGCCCGAAGATCCAGCCCTTGGGATTCTTGGCCCCTCGAACCGATAGAATCCGGCTGCGGCCTCGCCCGAAGGTCCAGCCCGTGGGATTCTTGGCCCCCTCGAACCACGTATCTCGGCCAGCCACGATAGAATCCGGCTGCGGCCTCGCCCGAAGGTCCAGCCCGTGGGATTCTCGGCCCCTCGAACCACGTATCTCGGCCGACCACGATAGAACCCGGCTGCGGCCTCGCCCGAAGGTCCAGCCCGCGGAATTTTCCGTCCCGAAAGGACTTGGTGTTCTGATGTCATCGTACCCTCGAAGGTCCTGGAACATCCTCGAGCGAATATGCGTAGAATCTTCGGGACAATTGATCAAAAATCATCGTTCGCCACGCGAACATTATTCTCTAGCCCTATGTCTCAGTGACTTTACAAATTTCTTGTAAAAGGACCTCTGGATCCGACTGAGAGTTATATCCTGGCCAGAGAGCAACACCAAAGTGGCCTAAAGACCCACTAAAATAAAGATCTTTATCCCGAAGGATCGCGCCCCTGCCGAGTGTTACAACTGTTAGAGCAAAAGGAAAGGCAAAGGAAAAGATAAAGCAATGGAAAAGGAAGAAGTTTCACGTATTACAATAAACCATGGCTAATACGAAGGAGTCCGACGGCGAGTACGAGGTAGCCGATTCGATAGAAAACCCAGGCGTAGGAGTACGATGGATTTATGCCCGGCGTAAAGATGAGTTAGCCTCTCTAGCACTCGAGTTCGGGTTTAGCGCCGACGGCACCGTAGCAGAAACGCAGAAGGCGTTCGCTACACTCGTAAGCACAGCATCGTTTCCAGAGTCGGTGTGGAAACGACTCGCTCAACTACAGGATCAGTACAGCTTGAGAGCCGTCACTCCGAACCGTCTAGGAGGCGACAAAGGGTTCACCCCGGGAGCCAAGATAACCCAAGTTGACCAGAGTTAGGTTCCATATTTCGCCGGCCATAGCTCTCCCGGAAGACTGACAAGCTATCGAGGAGTCCATCCTGGCGCGTCACGAGATTTTATCGCCTCATCACTCGGAAATCATGGTGCGTCGAAGCCGCCAGAGTCAGAAGTTCCACTTATTATCACTCTTCCTCGTCATTTACTAGCCGAGCGGATGCATAAGTGGAATCTACGATTCGACGGGGCGTCGGACCCGCTGACCTTGATCGCCGAACTTGAAGAGAAGATAGCAACATAGGGATCAACCTGGAGGAAGTACCCCGCGCCATATCAGAGATTTTGGAAGTTAGGGCAGCATGGTGTTTCCGCACGAGCCGCTTACAGACAGCTACGTGAGCAGAGTTTCGTGGAAGCGAATCGCAAGCCGCATACCAAAAGGAAGAAGAACTCTATCGGATCTACGAAAATACGCCACGAGTTCGCGACGCTGGAGCAATTAACCCAAATGGCAACGGAATACGAAAGTGTGAGACAGCTGACGTCGAGTCGCGCAGGTATTTCTAGGACGGTGACTGCAGACCGGGATAGGGCCAACGCCCGTCTGACGCCGAACCCCTTTCGAGGCTACGGGGTACCCGTTCAAGGAGGGAATGCAACTCACCGAATGATCAGACAGCCCCTCACAAACGTCGACGTTCAACGAGCTTGTAGTAGATGTGGAGAAGTCGGTCACTTTAAGCGGGGTTGTACTAACCCACGTCTGAACTTTTGTTGGAACTGCGGTCGAAGGGACACATTGACCGTCGACTGTTGTCGCCGAGATGCCCCGGGAAACAAACAACGTCTTCGCCGAGATGCGGGCGCAGCGGAGACGAACGCAGTAACAGCCCGGCACCAAGAAACCCACCATTAAGGATAAGCACGGATGCCACGGTGGATACGGGAGCGACGAGGAGCTTTGCGAGTGAAGGGTACGCCCGTATGGTAGCAAGATCTGAGGAGATGCAAGAGATCGTCACTACGATAGCGTTAGAGGATCGGTCAAGCCTGGCAGTGAAGAAGCTATGGCGTACTCGCGTGGAGTAAGCTGGCACAGTGTGGATGCCATTCTTGGTGATGCCAACCATGTTATGGTATGGATTTCTTGGCGGCAATGCTACCTTAAAGGTAAAATTGACTGCGGCTGAGTAAAATCGATCGGATATCATCAGAGGATACGAACCCGGAAATACTCGAAGAAAGGAGTATGACGGTTCTAGGGAGTCACGAATCCGACGATAAGGACACCATGTATACAGAGCAGAGTGAGGTCCTCGGTCAAGCCTGGCAGTGAAGAAGCTATGGCGTACTCGCGTGGAGTAAGCTGGCACGCCAGTGTGGATGCCATTCTTGGTGATGCCAACCATGTTATGGTATGGATTTCTTGGCGGCAATGCTACCTTAAAGGTAAAATTGACTGCGGCCGAGTAAAATCGATCGGATATCATCAGAGGATACGAACCCGGAAATACTCGAAGAAAGGAGTATGACGGTTCTAGGGAGTCACGAATCCGACGATAAGGACACCATGTATACAGAGCAGAGTGAGGTCCTCGGTCAAGCCTGGCAGTGAAGAAGCTATGGCGTACTCGCGTGGAGTAAGCTGGCACGCCAGTGTGGATGCCATTCTTGGTGATGCCAACCATGTTATGGTATGGATTTCTTGGCGGCAATGCTACCTTAAAGGTAAAATTGACTGCGGCCGAGTAAAATCGATCGGATATCATCAGAGGATACGAACCCGGAAATACTCGAAGAAAGGAGTATGACGGTTCTAGGGAGTCACGAATCCGACGATAAGGACACCATGTATACAGAGCAGAGTGAGGTCCCCGCACACAACCGGATCATGCGTCAGATGGCCCCATCAGGAGAATTAAAGAACGACGGAGGAGACGAGATCAGGAGGCACGACGGACCGGGAAGGGCCTTGGAGGACTTTCCGGATGAAATCGACGAAGCAGAGGGTGTAGAACCAATGGCGGAAGAGGATGATCTGAGACCCGACCAGCGGGAATTCATCACCCGCGAGTTGGCGCTTTTCAAGGAGCTTCGTCGGATTATAATGCGAGACGATAAACCCTTGAAACAAAGGTACTACCCAAGGAACCCGGCAATGCAGAGCGTGATCGACACCCAAGTTGACGAACTACTCAGCGAAGACGCCATCGAACCTTCGCGGAGTCCGCATAGCGCACCCATAGTGTTGGTCAAAAAGAAGACGGGTGAATGGCGCATGTGTGTTGATTATAGACAATTAAACGCTCACTCAGTACCCGACGCGTACCCCTTCCCCAGGATCAACCACATTCTGGAGAAGCTACGGCAAGCCCGATACATTTCGACGCTGGACTTAAAGCACGGTTATTGGCAAATACCCATGGACAAGGACAGCCTCCAATTCACGGCCTTCACCGTTCCGGGCAGAGGCCTATACCAGTGGAAGGTCATGACCTTCGGGCTTCACTCAGCAAGAGCAACCTTTCAACGCGCTTTGGATGGCGTGATTGGTGCGGACATGGAGCCGTTCGCTTTCGCCTATTTGGACGATATCATCGTTATAGGCGCCACGGAGGAACAACATTTGTCCAATCTGGCCGAAGTGCCGAAGGAGTCCAAACCGACCCGGAGAAAGTGACGGCCAACCTTAAGTCCCCTACCTGTCTCAAGGAGCTCCGGCAGTGGCTAGGCATGGCATCTTGGTATCGCCGGTTCGTCCCTAACTTCGCAACCGTGGTACAACCGATGACGGCCCTGTTATAGAAAGGCCGGAAGTGGTCGTGGGGTCCCGAACAACAGAGTGCGCTGGAGGAGGTGAAAAGGAGGTTAACCACCGCCCCCGTGCTAGGATGTCCCGACTTCGACAAGACGTTTGTGTTGCAAACTGACGCTAGCGACGTGGGACTAGGAGAAGTCTTGTCGCAAGATATCGAAGGCCAGGAGAGGGTCATCGCGTAAACCAGCCGTCGACTCACGGCCACGGAGGGCAATTATACGACGACGGAAAAAGAGTGTCTGGCCATTATATGGGCCATTAGGAAAATGCGGTGCTACTTGTAAGGGTATCGGTTCGAAGTGGTTACCGACCACCTAGCCCTCAAATGGTTGAACTCCATCGAAAGCCCCTCCGGTCGGGTAGCGGGTAGATGGGCGCTGGAGTTGCAACAATTCCAGTTCGACGTGCGGTACCGACGCGTGAACGTGGTGGCGGACGCGTTATCCCGGCAACCCTGTGAAGTCTTGCAACAGATGGCCGAGGTGGAGACACACTGTAAATGGATCCAAGGTATGCAAGTTAAGATAAGAGAGTACCCCGAGAAGTTCTCAGACTACATGATGAAAAATGGACAACTATACCGGAATTTGGGACACAGAGCGGATGACGAGGACTACTTCCCGTGGAAGCTGTGCGTCCCTAGTTCAAATAGGGTCCGAGTCCTTCGAGAATGCCACGACGCGCCCACGGCTGGACATCTGGGCGTCCGAAAAACCATTTCTCGACTATCTCAGAGGTATTTCTGGCCCGGCATGTTTAGAGACGCGAAGCGTTACGTCCAGCGCTGCGAGTCGTGCCAGAAGTTTAAAACCGCCCAGACGAAAGCGGCAGGCAAAATGCTAACCCGCGTAACAAGCGAACCGTTTGACGTTTTATGCGCAGACTTTGTCGGCCCGCTACCCCGGTCGAAGCACGGAAACACCATGCTCCTCGTATTTCATGACATCTTTTCTAAATGGGTGGAGTTGATCCCGATACCGAAGGCTACCGCCGCCCAGGTTCAGAAAGCATTCCGGGAACGGATACTGGGTCGGGTCGGCATCCCTCGGAAGTTCGTCTGTGATAATGGTACTCAATTTACCAGTCGCACTTTGAAAGAGTACTTCAGCACGATAGGGGTAGAGGTCCAATATACTGCCCCGTACTGTCCACAAGAGAACCCTACCCTACTCGATCAGGTCTTGACCAAGATCCAGGGGACCGGTTGGGACGGGTCGTTCATGAAGGAGTTGACCTCATCCATAGCGACTCCGATAAAACCTCGAGACGAGTTAGCCCCGTTACCTGAAGGTTGGATTGGGACGGGCGAACTCCGGCGATTGCCGGCATCGGCCATTCGTCTGATCGCCGAGAGGGCGCCCGATAAAGCCGGACGAGGACACAGCGTTCGCTTCGCCGTCAAGGGCATGGATTGGCATTACCTCGTCACCGTAAAGAGTGACGGGGGCTCATCATCAGCCCCCGGTAGGAAAGGGGTGGGTGTGACGATCCCGCCTGACGGCTAGGCCGCCACAATATATATTTAAGCAATAGTTGTCTAAGTATCACATTAATACCATTAGTATGTAAGAGATATAAAATGAAGTATTATAATTTAGTAATGGTTAAGCGATCATATGGATTATTGGGTATAAAACCAAAATAGGTCAAGTTTGGTTCCGCACCACCCGCCCGAGGTGGCAACCATAGAGAAAAATACTGGAAAATAGAGAAAATACCAAACCAACCTGGGTAGGAAAGGTCCAAAAGGATGAGAGGGTCACACGGCGGTTTCCGGCAGGGGCTCTCGGCTCTTGGACTTCGAAGCGATCGGTCGCGCACGCGGACAAAATAAGTAAAGAAAACACGTGTGAAAGAAAACGCGGTCGGTAGGAAATAAGGTTAGTGAATCAGTGTAATCGGCGCAGTGAAAAACAGGGACGATTTAAAACAACAAATTAAACTGAGTGAACTCGTACGAAAAGAAACGTCAAGCCGGATTGTTATTCATTTTATTTTTACCCCGTACCCCTTTGTTCCCCAAGGGATTCAGGCCATTAGTGACCGATGACCCAATTGGAAGCGGTAAATTATTTGCACCATATACGTACACGTTATCACGATCTTCTGAATTTCATCCACTAACCTGCCTGCGTTGTGAGGTGGAAGATCCCCTCATTCTCCTACTTAATTCTCCCCCCCCTAACGAAGTGGCAGATCCCTTCGTGTCATATTAACCCCACGACGAGACGGAAGATCCTCTCACGTGTCCTCCTCTAATACCCTACCGCGAGGTGGCAGATCCCTTCGTGTCCTACTAACCCCCGCGGCGAGACGGAAGATCCTCTCACGCATCCTCCCCTAATACCCCACCGCGAACTGGCAGAGCCCTTCGTATCCTATTAACTCCGACGGTGAGACGGAAGATCCTCTCACTGGCCCCATTAATCCTACACCGTAGCGGAACGGCAGATCCTTCCGACTTTGACTAATCAAACTAGCTTTCAGCCGGCCAACCACGATAGAATCTGGCTGCGGCCTCGCCCGAAGATCCAGTCCTTGGGATTCTTGGCCCCTCGAACCGCATACTTCGGCCAACCACGATAGAATCCGGCTGCGGCCTCGCCCGAAGGTCCAGCCCGTGGGATTTTTGGCCCCCTCGAACCACGTATCTCGGCCAACCACGATAGAATCCGGCTGCGGCCTCGCCCGAAGGTCCAGCCCGTGGGATTCTCGGCCCCTCGAACCTCATATCTCGGCCGACCACGATAGAACCCGGCTGCGGCCACGCCCGAAGGTCCAGCCCGCGGAATTTTCCGTCCCGAAAGGACTTGGTGTTCTGATGTCATTGTACCCTCGAAGGTCCTGGAACATCCTTGCCTATGTCTCAGTGACTTTACAAATTTCTTGTAAAAGGACCTCTGGATCCGACTGAGAGTTATATCCTGGCCAGAGAGCATCCTTACAAAGTGTACACGTTTTAATTGTTTCGATGACGCGTTGTTGTCAATCGTCGCATGCGGTTTTTCAGCTCCTTGTCGACCACACAGCCCCTGTAGTTTGTGTTTGATCCTCCGCAGTTTCCACATTTCTTCATTTGTTGGTCTTCTTTGTTGGCAGGGCAATTGGAGGAATTGTGAAAGTCTTTACAAACTACACAGACTGATGTAAGTGTGCAGTATGTCCTGGTGTGTCTATACTCCTGACAGTTTGTACATTGCACCGGGCCGTTCCTCTTATAAGGCTCTTCCACCTTAATTCTTCGGTGCAATAGGTATTGCAGGTTATAAATGGGGTGCACTTTATTTTTTTCAAGACTCTGCTGTCTGGCTCCAGCTCTACCTTGAAAAGTGGTTGCGGGTTTTTCTTCCAGTTAATGATGTTACGAACGATCTTATCGGTCTGTATGGCCCGGTCCGCTTGTTGAATATTGTCTTCGTTTTTTTTTTTTGTCAGATTTTTAGAGGACGTTGTATTTGGCGCTGCACTAGACGACATAGCAGTCGATTCCGCGATAGGAGCCGTTGCTGTAGACTTAACGTTCAGATTACCGGCCGATACTGGTAGTACAGATACAAATTCTGTAGTACCAAAAAGGGTTGCATGTGTTGTACCAAAAACGGTTACTTGTGTTCGGGTGCCCCAGCTAAAACATGTATTTGTTTCACGGCTCGCCCCAGACCTCTCATCACTGGATATCACGGCTTATATCCGTAACAAAATCCAAGTTGATGATTTGAAGGTCGAACAATTTAAATTTTCTTATGCTAGGAAAGTATCATCATTTAAGATTGGTATTCCTTGTGCTCTTTTTGCATCTGTGTGTTCCACCAGTTTCTGGCCCGAGGGCATATTTGTAAAAGAGTACGAAGCTAAGAGAAAAAAGAATAGTTCAGGGAAATGGAAAACACCATTAAGAACCATCCCCAGCGCCCTCCACATCCTCTTCTGTCCCAAAAAACTAGCCTCCTCTTTTCTTCTTTGCTATCAGAATACAAGAGGCTTACTTAGTAAGCTGACTAAATTGTATTCGGATAGTTTTTCTTTCCCATATAATATTATGGTATGTAGAGACCCCTGGTTAAGGCCGGATATTCTTAGCTCCGAAATTCTCCCGGGTAAGTACACAATTTATAGGCTTGATCGTCAGTCCAGACGGGGAGGTGGAGTCCTGATTGCTGTCGACTCCACCTTTTCGTCTGAATTACTAACTTTCGAAGAATTTTATGACATCGAATTCCTAGGTATAAAATTATCGTTTCCCGGTAGTTTTGTATATATTACTTGTTCATATATCCCACCATCATCTGAGTTCCCTATTTATGCAAATCACCTTTCAGTTATTCAGTCCATTTCCAAAAAACCGTCGGATCGAGATCAGTTAATTGTATTAGGTGATTTTAATATACCTAGTGCGACATGGTCCCCTGACGAAAACTCTAACATTTTACTTCCTTTAGCGCAGCATGACTTTATTGACGGCTTGCTTGATATTGCGCTATCCCAAGTGAACCATGTTAAGAACTCCTTAGGTCGTTTACTGGACTTGTGTTTTGTTTCAAATTCAGAAGGCGTTTGCCTATCAAGAACGTCACCACTTACACAACCGGAAGATCCTTATCATCCAACTCTAGAGCTGACTGTAGACGCAAGAACAGAGCTGAATAAAAAATCCGAAAAGTCGGTTAAACGAATCCGCTGCTTTCGTAAGGCAAACTTTCATCTTTTAAATACTTTTATATCCGGCTATGACTGGTCCGAATTTTATTCATGCACTAACGTGGCTAAGGCCGTTAATATCTTTTATAATGCATTGAATTCCTTCTTTTATCTGTGTGTTCCGTTATACTATCCGTCAATTTCAAATAAACCTCCATGGTTTAATAAATAGTTGTCACACCTAAAAAATATTAAGTCCAGACTTTTCAATAAATTTAAAATGTGTGGTTCACAATCTGCCTTCTCTCGGTACCTAAGGGCTCGGTCAAATTTTATCGTGCTTAACGCCCGGTGTTATAAAAGCTATTTGACTCGTTGTAGGGTCCAATTTTCACAAGATCCAAAACAGTTTTATAATTTTGTTAATACTAAGCGTAAATCAGCCTGTTACCCTGCATCACTATCATTCGAAAACTCTACGGCAAATTCTGATCAGGCAATTGCCGATCTATTTGCCCAGTTTTTCCAGACAACATATTCTGTTTCATCCCGTCCAAATCCGTCTTATTCAAATGCCATACCCAAGTCGAACTTGATTTTTTGTACGAGGTTAAGCGAAAGCTCCCTTCTTTTGGATCTTCATAAAGTTAAGCCTGTCTATTCACCGGGTCCGGACGGAGTTCCAGGCTGCGTGCTGAGGTACTGTGCTGAAACTCTGTGTAGACCTCTGTACAAATTGTTTACCTTGTCTTTAAAAACATCTCATTTCCCACTTATTTGGAAGGAGTCATTTGTCATTCCCCTTCATAAGAAAGGAAATAAATGCAATACAAGTAATTACAGAGGCATATCCAAATTATCCGCCATCCCAAAGCTTTTCGAAAACACTATTACACCCCATTTGCAACATCTTTTTAGATCGATTATATCTCCATGTCAACATGGATTTATAAGGCGAAGATCTACGAGCTAACGTCTTTTGTAATAAATGGCTTTAGAAAGAACATGCAGACTGACGTAGTTTACACTGACTTTAGTAAAGCGTTTGATTCAGTAAATCACTCGCTACTTGTATTAAAGCTAGACTTATTAGGGTTTCCATGTGATCTTCTAACATGGATCTCAAGTTATCTGAGTGGTAGGACTCAACGAGTCCTCTTTAAAACCTCGATCTCTGATTTGATCCGAGTTACTTCAGGCGTCCCACAAGGAAGCCACCTTGGCCCACTTCTTTTTACTTTATTTATAAACGATCTCCCTCTAGTCTTGACAAAGTCGCGTGTCCTTATGTACGCAGATGACGTTAAGTTATGCCTGCAATATAACGAAATTTCGAGCAGTTCAGACTTACAATCTGACCTAAACGCTTTTCAAACATGGTGTTGTGAAAATCTTTTGGATTTAAATAGCGCTAAGTGCAAAGTAATGACATTTTTTCGGGTGAACCCACAATATGCAACGTACACGCTGGGTGGTTGCGCGTTGTCTAGAATTACGCATGTTGATGACCTTGGCGTCCTCCTTGACCCTAAGCTTAAGTTTTGTGACCATATTACTTCTATGGTGAATAAAGCCAGGGGAGTACTTGGATTTATTAAAAGGTGGTCAAAGGAATTCGATGATCCCTATGTTACAAAGTAACTGTTCTGCAGTTTGGAGTCCTCAGTTTGGTGTACATATAGACCGGATAGAGTCTGTGCAAAAGAACTTTTTATTATTTGCTCTACGGGGCCTTAACTGGAATGCAAGCCTTATTTTACCATCCTACTCTAGTAGACTTCTCCTAATTAATCTACCATCCTTAGTAAACCGTAGAACGATGCTTGGCACAACTTTTATCTATAAACTTATTCACGGGGATGTGGAG